GACTCCTTTTTCCTTTTTCAGTGTAAAGAGATATAGTCATTGCTTGTTTTGCAGTCCACAATTTCATAAGGAAATGCGATATTCATGATGAGTTATTTATGACATTCGAGGAGAACAATGGTCAAGCACAAGGGGGAGAGAATGATGGCCAAAACGTAGGCGATATGGAATGGGGTTCACAAGACAATGAATACATGGATAATTTGCGTGACCAGATTGCGAATCAATTGGGGCCAAATTAAATTTGTAGGATTTTATTTGGATTTTAGTATGATTTTGTGGATTTATAAATATTTATGTTTGATTTTGATTTATGCTAAATTTGGATTTTATATGGTGTTTATATATTTTTTTAATACGTATTGAAGAAATTTATTAGATTATTTTCTAAACAAACACTTGAATTCAATAAAATTTAAAACAGAAGGGTAAAATGGTCATTTTAATAATTCAGCACAACAATTCAGAGGTTCCAACCAAACAACATGTTAAACATTCAGCTTTTAAAATTTCAGACCCTCTTAAACGTTCAGATCTCTTAATAATTCAGATTCAGATAAAAAAAACAAACTAAATAGAAAAAGAGAAAAGAATAAAGAGGGGGGACTGCAAACGACCCAAGAGGCCAAGATCCGCCTCCTTCCCAATCCTCTCTCTCTCTCTCTCCATAAATATGGCGGTCTACGTTTCTTCTTTCATCATCTTTTTCCTCAACCATCTTGACTTTTCCAATCCCAAGTTACTTCCGCGTTCATATTTAACCTCTACAAGTGATCTCGCATTCTCAAATTCATCCCCCCATTCTTCTTCCAGATTATATCAAATTTTGCCCTTTCTCAGGTAATTCTTCTTCAAATGAATCAAATCTGTGGTATGATCCTTTAATTCAAAACATTGGTGGGTATTTTAGCAAAAAAGTATTTTTTTAGTTGATTTTTTTCAGATTTCAAACGAAAGCAGAGCAATTGTTCTTCGCTTGTTTCAGCACTGTCGTAAAATAACCTGTACAATGTCCATTTATGATGATTTATTTTATTGGTTAATCGGATTTTTAGGGTCTAATATTGTTTGGGTTTTGGGGTTTTAATGGTGATATTATTATTTTTATTCTTCAGTTTCTAGTTTTGCTATTCAATTCAATAATAGTGGCTTTTGTCTGTTATATGGATTTAGTATCTTTCCAATTTCCACCGCCTGGAAATTTGTCTTTTTGTTTACTTTTTGTAAGATCTTGAAACCGAGATAAGTTTCATTTGCTTTAATAATTGATTTTTGATAATTCTCTTTGCTCAGGTCTTAAATCTGTTGAAAACCTTGCTCTAATGGTGAGCAAAACCTCCAATTATTAACGCATTGATAAGATGCAGTAGGAAATTTGATCAATTCTTTAAACTTTTCCTTTTCTTTTGGTAATTAGGGTGAAGCTCCAGCTTTCCTTGCCGATGATCTGCATACCAGTTTTTCAAATGGGCTTCATTTGAAACTAGATGAGTTTGAAACAGCTACTGTTATTGGGAATAAGACTGTATGTAGTTGAACTAATTCTATTTCATTTGATATATATATATATATATATATATATATTTCAATTTTCAAGCTTGGTGTAGGCTTCTTTTAATACAAAGTAAAAAAATTACATTTTTTGCTATCTTTCTTCTATGCAAAAAGACTTGATTGCTGTTCTCATCTCATCAACACTTGTCCATTCCCTTTTTCTGAATCATATCTTTTCGTTTTGATCAGTATGTCATTGGTGGGATTAATGATCCGACATCAACTGGAGTTCGTATTTTCAATAAATCAACTGGTAACTGGTGAGTTTTAACTTTTCCCCTGTGTTTTTTTTACTCATATTGTTTGCTTTTGACAGTTTTGATATATAAAGATCCATTTTTTTGCTTGTAAAGGGTAATTCCAACCATTCTAGGAACAAAACCAAAGGCATTCAAGGGCCATTCTACAATACTCTTGAATAAAGAGAGAATCTTGATTATCAAAACCAATTCCAAATCCAACGACAGTATCTGGTTTTTTGAGGTGGGTATTCCAAAAAATTTCACAAGTTATATGACAATATCATAATGATCTTCACTGATCTTTAAGTAATTTCATGATGGCAGGTGGACACTCAGTTTGTTCAAGATCAGACGAAGAAATTTGAAACTGAAGTAGTTGCTTGGAGTAAGGGAGTTATAGGTGATGCTGAAAGACCAATAGTAATTAGTGGACCTTCTGGAGTGGGTAAGGGCACACTAATCAATATGCTAATGAAAGAGTTCCCTTCAATGTTTGGGTTCTCTGTTAGTCACACTACGCGGGCCCCACGGGAGAAAGAGGAGAATGGTGTTCATTATCATTTTACAAACCGAAGTGTCATGGAGGAAGAGATTAAAGCGGGAAAGTTTCTTGAATTTGCTGCAGTTCATGGAAATCTTTATGGGACTAGTGTAGAAGCTGTTGAGGTTGTTGCTGATGCTGGAAAGGTATTACTTTTATCTTTATGAGAAACCCTTCTTTCTGCATTAAGTCAAAAAGAAAGTTATTATTATCTTGCATAAAAGATTATTTACTAGAATGAGGTTGTGAATTACTTAAGAATTAAGATATAGTGAGTGTGATTTGATTATGTAGAGATGCATCCTTGACATTGATGTTCAAGGGGCAAGGTCTGTTCGGGCTAGTTCACTTGAGGCTATTTTCGTCTTTATTTGCCCTCCCTCATTTGAGGAGCTTGAGAAGCGCCTTCGTGCAAGGTTTGAGTTTTTTGTTTGTGTTAATGTTGTTGTTCTTTAAGTTGATCAAATAAGTCATCAATTTGGTCAAACAGAGGGACAGAGACCGAAGAACAGATCCAGAAAAGGCTTAGAAATGCCAAGGCTGAGCTTGAACAAGGAAAATCTTCCGGCCTTTTTGATCATATTTTGGTGAATGATGATCTTGAGGCTTGTTATGATCGGCTTAAGGTGAAATTACTTTTTTGGCCATTGTTAGATCCGAGTTTTTGGTTAATCTGATTTATTTTGTTTATAGAAAATCTTGGGTCTTGATGGAAGCTCAGATGCTACCCTAAAAATGCGTAAGTTTGTCAACTTTTTTTGAACTTGTAATCTTATGTAATTTAATCTCTTAGAAAAGTTCTCATGGAGCTTTTGAATTGTTGAATACAGAAACTGAGGTGTTTGATTTGCCAATGGATTTCTCATTGTCCAAAATCAATGAAAAGATCCTGATAAACAGTGGGATTGATGAACGAAGGTATGTATGAAACTCAAATTCCGACATTTTTTTCAAAATTAAAATTAAAACCGTAGACTTATTGTGAAATTGTTTGCAGGATTGTGCTGGACTTATTTTCCATGAAAGGTGGGGCCCCTGGACGGACAAGAGGGCTATGTATGTACACCACTGGCAACTGATGGTGTCAGCCTTTTTTGATACTAACTTTAGTAATGAATTTCTATTTGATTTATAATTTTAAGGAAAACCCAAAAGGATTAACTTCAGGAAAGGTGAATGGTGGTAGTTTTTTGATAATTATTTTCCTAGATTTCGGTCATATTGATGATTTAGAAGTTGAAAAATGAAGTAGCTTTTGGAATATTGTTTAGTATTTGACAAGAAACTGATTTGATTCTTTAAACATATGGACACAGAAAAGGAATTTTACTCTTGTACAATGTTTAGAAAGGAACTGGAATTTGTCAAATGAAATTCAATTTTTGAAGGAGTTAGAATATAAGAGTTTGCGTTTTGTCACTGTGTTTATTTGACAAAAAAAATGAAACAAAATTTATGTGGCACTACTCCTTCCCTTCCAGCCTTATATAGGTATCTCCTTTCATCAACTTGCTATATAAAGTTATATTACAATTTATTTAGTTAATTAACTAAAATATTTGTTAAATTAATTTAAGTACCATCATGATTTTAATTTACTAATTAATATATTACACAACTTTGAAAATTTATATTGTTTCGTAATCTCTGGACAATTAAAATATTATTATTAGATTATATATATATTGTAATTATTTTATTAACTAAATAATAAATTTAAATTTAAATGGGTGTTTTAAATTTATAAATGATTATAAACATGTATGATGTAGTTATAGATGTGTTGGTGGGACAACATTTGAAAGAAAGAATATTGATATTGTTTTGATACACAATGTAATTGTAAAAAAGAAAATTGATATTGCACTAATATGACTAGTCTTAAAAACATCCCATCTAAACATTAAACACAACATAAAAATCATCTTTACATTAAATCTAACACTAAACCCTAGATTAAATATAATGGTGAATAATATAACATCATATTTCATGTTATACTATTCATTAACATTATATTTAACTTAACTAGGTTACAACCCGTGAAGACCATGAGTAAAAAAAATATAATATTGAATTATTAATAATTAAAAATGGTAATGAAAAGATAAATATTTATAAAATTTTATCCTTACTTTTTTATAAACATACCTATGTAAATGCATAAATTTTTTAAAATTGAAGAAAGGCGTAGCAAAGCAAAAAACAAAATAAACCTAAACAATGAAACAATTAACATTTGAATTAGAAAATATAAATAAACATTATAAAACAACTTGTTGAGTTTTATAATTTGTTAAACATGAAATATACATTAAAATTATAGATATATTCAACAAACATTATTTATTATAAATATATATTGATATTCAATACATTTAGATGTTATTGATCATATATTAAACATAATCAGTTTAATAAACAATAACATTTAAAGCTTAATAAAAGAATGAAAAAAGGATGTATATTACTATATTATATGTACTAACCAGATAACAAATCAAATATAGGAATTATTATATATTATATATATAATTATTATTATTATATATATATTAAAGTTAGGAAGAAAACGAACAGTTTCTAAGATGTTGGCAAAAATAGCCCCTGTTTATGTGTTTGGTTGCAATTTCGAGTTCTTGGGCATTTTATGGACTTATCAACATTCTCAGATGTTTCTCGATTTTCTCCACCGCCTTATCTTCCTTCTCTAATAATATATCTTTCTTTCTCTTTCTCTTGCTTTCTGGATGGTTCCATCCACTGCCCTAGACGGCGTCATACCGCCCACCACCTGTAATACCGAAGTTTCCTTTTCCTTTCCACCTCCTTCTGTATTTCGATTACGGCTCCACTCGATCTGCTCGACCTCCGGCATCAGCATGCAACTTTGTCGTCTCCGACTTCATCGATCTGCTGAAAAAATTAATCAATGACGAGATGAAAGATCTAGATAAAGATGATAGAGAAGAAACACGAAGGAAATTGGTGGCGATGGCGTTTGTCATAGTCAGAGAAAAACGATGTTGGAGGGGAGCTGGTGACGCTGGCGCCAAAGTACCCCTATTATTCCGTCGGCTTCACCTCTGTTACCCTTATTCCTCCATTGACTTCGCTTCCGTGTTTCCTCCCAGTAAAACCCCTAAGTTCGACCAACCATCGCCGCGTCGGAGTCAGCTTCAGAGACCCGGTCAGATATTGTATATCTCCGGGGAGCTTCACTAAAGAAAACGCGAGGAAGCTCCGGCTGTACACAATGGAACGGAGTCGTTTGACGATGTGAATGGAAACGGAGTCGTTTCACGATGTGATGTATGGGTTCATCTGACTACAGAGGGCATTCTTCTTCTGTAACGCCTTCCTATACTTCTTCAACACCTAATGCATCCCTAAAGTTTAGGAACCAAATGATTCGACTCAGCCATTGATGCGACTTCAAGCCAAAGATGAAACATCGACAAAATTGGTAAGACCAATCAAAACAATAGCCCCGATCATCTATTTTCTGCCACCACGAAACACGACTGAGTCGATTTTCTATTTTGTGGTCGCCTTTTACATCTCCAGACGAATAACATGCCACATAAGGCTTTTTTCTCTATGAGGTGCAACATTCAACTTCACCCTCTATTGATTTTTTTTTCGGTAACAACTAATTGATTTGAGGTTAGATTGGGTTTTTTTGTAACAATGAATTATGGAGTAGAGAATGGTTAAATTGAACACTGAAACCAAAAATATTACAGGTCAGGTGAAAGAAAGTATGTTGATGTCCGCTGGATTGAGCCTTTTCAACATTGTATTTATTGACAAAGGTACGTAATGCTATTTCAATGTTTTAATAGAATTTCTCATGTTTGAAAGAATATATGTCTATGTAACTGGATTCTAAATGTTGAATCCGACAACTGATTTCTTTTGATTTATAAAATTATTGCTTTTACAGATTTAGTAAAATCTTTGTTTTTTTTTTTATTTATTTTTATTTTTTTTTTCTGTTTCATCTCAGCTTCAATTTCTGAATCATGAATCGGAAGTACAGATTTAGTAAAATCTTTGTCTTTTTTTTTTTTCTGTTTCATCTCATCTTCAATTTCTGAATCATGAATCGGAAGTGGCAGAAAGTGATTAATTTACCGATACTGCGTTTCACTGTTCACCGACTGGAGTAGACGTAACTCAAGCCTCAAGCCCAGATGGTAAATCGAAGTCTTCAATAAATTAGGGTTTGATTTCGTGGGTATGTTTTATATTTTGAAGGCTTATTTGTACATTTTACTTTCTTTTTACAAAATTCTATTGGAGTCTGAACATTATAGCTTAACTATCTTCTCACCATTGATTTTACAGCAGTAATAAGAGTTTTTTGGACTGTTAAGCCTTTCCTTGATGACCACTGTGATGAAACGGTGACATATCAATGCTTAATTCATTACATGTAAAGCTCAACACATTTTTTTTTCGTTCACTGATCATTTTGACAGAAACGATACATAGCTTGGACTTAAAAAATTGGCACAGGTATCTTTCAAAATGGTTGGGACATCTTTATAAGGAATGACAATAGATCCTAAATCCATGAGTTACTACTTTCGTAGAAAAGTTCATTGATGTTTCTGATTGCAGGTTTAAGGAGAGTCGGTTATGGTTTTTTTGGAAGATTAAACGGAGGTTTCGGAAGCTGCTGCTAGAGAGCATGTCTTTGGGGAAGCAGACGATTAAACATGCCCAAATTGCCCTTCACTTTATAGTGAAAGTGAAGCACAGATTAATACGTATAATCCTCTTTCTATCTAATTTTTTATTTCTCCAAATTATTTACTTCACAGATTTCACTTACAAGTTGCAACCAATCAAATTTTGATTATAATAAGAGCAAATTACAAATTTGGTCTCTGTGTTTTTCTTAAAATTACAAACTTTGGATTTTTTTTTAAGTTTACTTTTTACAGTGGATATAGTCCCTGTCATTTAGTCAAAGTTAGAAGTTAAGTCCAAAATTTGAAGTCATTTTATATTTTCCAACTTTTTTATTAATTTTTTTTTAAAATTTTTTGTTAATGTGAGATCAAAAATTTACTAATTTTTCCACAGGGAAGAAATCAGATTTATGGTTGAAAGCGATGGTCCTGCTAAAGGAATTGTATTCAGCCAGATTGAAAAAGATCCGGTAAAGTAATACAAATCCATCATCTATTTTTTGCTGCTACTTTGCTTTTTTGCTGATTTTACTGATATATTGAACACAATAACTGGCAATTTTGGTGAATTAGCTTCACAAGATCTGGCCTCAGTCTCCATCAGTTACTAATCACTTGCATCTCACAATGGCCATTCATTGAGAATCCATCAACCAAGTAGACAATCCCCAAGAACAACAACAACCCACGGTAATTTCTTCACTCCTATGCAATCCAATATCAATTTCTCAGAATTCCTTTACCTGGAAAACCCAATGAATTCGGCAGATTTTCAGTTTCGGTGACACCATGGCTGGCAAATTCTGAAATCGGAGAATTTGCGGATTTTGATGATATCCATCGGGTTTGCTTCTATATATCTTATTTCCTCTACATTTCTTCTTCTTTATCCTCATTCCAAAAAACTCCCCTTATCTCTTTTATTATTACAGTGGTGAATAACAATCTATAGAGGATGGAAGGGTTGCTACAACTTTCCCCCATATGGTTTTGCCATCATTTCTTCACCTGTATTTTCTACGCTTCATATATCCATACAGGTAATCCTAATCCTCCAATTTTTTCCTTGAGAAGTTACATATGCAACCGATAGAATACAAAAAAATGTATTCATTAGAGGCGTGATAGACTTTTAAATGGTCGGAGATTAACTTTTTTTTTTCTTCTGAACAGAAAATGGGTGGAAGCTCTACTTGGTTTATTGGTTGAAGCTTTTTGACATGATTACGCTGCTAATAAGGTTAGATTATGCAAAGAAAACAACCGAGGTATTGTCTTTTTTAATTAAAAATTGAGTCATATTATTGATAGTGACAATGTGCAGGTGTGCCACTTGAAAAAATGTGGTAATGTTTTTCCCTGGTTAGTAGCCTTTTTTGGCAGTTTTTCACTTACAGTATTATTTACATTTTTCTATTTTTTTTTTTGGCATCTTAATGTCTTAATGGGTACACTTGGAAATGTTAGATTAGGGAATGTCTATTCCCACTTGGAGTTTGGGAATTGTCAACCACATCCATGAAGCTGGGACAATTTTGTTTTCTGTAATAGCAACAAATATGATGAATAATATTGGATTTTAAATTGTAGAAAATAGCAACTGAAATCACAATCTTACATATAACTAGGTCAAAGAAGGAGGATCATCTGGCAAGATTGCTGAGGTGGAATCCGGTGAATGAAATGTTTCCTAATACTTTCTTATGGTTCAGGTTGTATATACTTTGCTTATTTACAAACCTAATTTTTTTTTCTTATTTCCGTTATTGACCTTGTATATTTTTTTTATTTATTTACATAGATTTGGTCAAAGTGTGTTGATGATGAAGCTGTAAACATTGAAGTTGAGAACATGGCTGAAGCTTTAGTAATAGGAGGTTCTGCCATCATGAGAAAAATGGAGACTGGTTTCTATTACTCGCATGTTATACTCTACTCTGGTGAGCATATTGTCATGAAACAGCCCCATTTTTGCTGGTATTAGTTCTTTTCACCATTTCTTCATCTTTGATACTTCTGTATAGTTTTGTGGTCAGTCCAATTTAACTTGATTTGTCAAACAAAGTTGCAATTTAATGTATGGTATTTGTATTTCATTATATTTCAGTTATTTCAATTCAGTGTTCATCGACTGATTTTTATTTCTTTCTTCAAATGTTTAATTTTATTATTTTATATCACAATTGTTATGCCAAATCAGTGATTAATAAGAGGCAATGAGCTAGGGCAAGTCGATTGACGAGAATAAGTTATCCCTAAACTTCATAATTATAGTTGTTTGTTTATATGTCTGTGGTTGTGTATGGCTTTCTGACTTATTGGATTTCTGTTAGTGTATGAAGTCCTTATAAGAAAACTTGGAAAATGTTATGTACCTACCTAATGAAGGTAGGTCATATTGTGTCACATTATGCTTTTTAAGTTTGTTTTTGTCTATATTTTTTCATTCATAAAATTTCTCTATTACGTTTATCGTATCTACAAAGGGTATAGTGAAAATTAAATAAACCATTAGTTTATACAATATAAATTTTATTTTTATGATCTTACCTGTTATCCGAATATACATGAATTATTGGTTTGGCACAATCTTATAGTTTTTTGGTTTGCAACTCTTTTAGGGGGCTGAAATTCAAATGAATACATCTGCATTCTGCAGTAGCTGATGAAAGTCGGAATGCTGAGGTAAATGGAATCAAGAACTGAGATTTTGGAAAAAATTGGAAGTGTATTGCTTTTTCTTGCATTTAACCCACATTGTTTATTTGTAATTTTTTGAATGTATTTTTCTTTTTTTTGCTTCTAATTATTCACTTTTAATGTAATGAAGGTGAGATTTTAGCACTTGATATCACTAGAATTGGAGGGATAATCACCATGCACCAAATCTGTAGGTTACTCTATTATCATTTTATGCATCAAAAAGTAAATATTTGTTTATTGAGTACTTGGATTTGGAGTGTAACAGATGCACAGAAAAAAATGACAAACATGATCCGTTTTACAATCAACCGATGGTTTCCAAACCCCGCAACACGTTCACTCCAAATCTCCTGCATGTAGGACCAAAAAAAGTTCACGAATCCGGACCATCTTTAGACTTGCTTATTGTGTCTTTTGTGGTTTTGTTGTTTCCAGCTTGCTTCTACGGCCAAGGCTTCAACACCTCCTTTATTTTATATAGCGGATTATGTTAGTGGACTCTACGATGCGCTTGCTAAGGGTGATAGAGAGGCAGGTGCTGTTGGGAAACGTGTTTTTTTGCCCGCGTCATTTACTGGTGGTCCCCGCTTCATGTACAGTCATGCGCTTTCCATATGTAGGGTGTATGGCAACCCACAATACTTTATCACGTTTACATGCAATGTGAAGTGGCCAGAGATCACCCGCTATATGGATATACATCGCCAAACCGATCCCCATAGTAGAGCGGATATCATTGCTCGGGTGTTCAATATCAAAGTTCATGAGTTTATCCGGTTTCTTAAGGAAGACAAAACGTTTGGCGGAGTTGAAGCATGTATGTTTTCCACTTCGCTCCTCTTTCACTTTTCATATGATGTTATGTGTAGTTTGCCAGATTTTATTCATGTTTCTGCTGTTTCCAGCTGGTTCATGTATAATAATTTTGTGTGTATTAGAAGTAAATGTAAATGAATTTTCTATTTTTGTTGATATATTGCTATCTTTTATATGCAATGTACCTTGCCGTGAAAGGGGCTGTGTTTTGTTCATTATATGTTTTCCGGTTGTTTTCCTTTTATTGTACATTTCATATTCTGTGCGTGCCTTTGTTCCAAATTTTTATATATATGGGTCTATTGAATTACATGTTTTTTCTGTTTTCAGTTGCCTCATCACTCATGTATCATAATGTAATTCTTTCAAAAAAAACCCTGATTAACCCCGCCTTGGATGTGTTACTGCTTCTGCTCACTGTTTGCTCTGTTTCCAACTGTCTTACATTTTATTGAAATTATATTTTTTCTTAGTATATTGACATGTTTTATATGATATACAGCTTCTTATAGTCAACGTTTGGTTTCATTGATTGGTTTGATTTTGTATCTGTTATTCCGAAATTACCCTTGGATAGATATGTTGCTGCTGCTATTTCTGTATGCAGGTGTTTGTTATTGTTATTTCTTTTATGATTTCCTACAACTTCTACCCTTTGTGTCATATAAACCGTATGTGATACCTTTTATACCCTTATTTCCACCTGTCTTATGACTCATGGTTGATAATCCCAATTTTAAAAAAATAAATTTAATTAAGCTTTTATATGATGTGCAGCTTTCTATGGTGTAGGTCGCTTTTTATAGATTATCTTCATTTTGTATTGATCATTTCCAAATTACAGCTGCTTAGATATGTTGTTGCTTCTGCTACTGTATACAAATGTTTATTCGATTAATAGATTCTTCTGTTTCCAGGGGCCTTATCATTTATGTATCAAAATTAATTTTCATAAAACAAAATGTAATTGAATTTTGATTTTTTGTTAGTATATTAACAGGTTTTATATGACATGCACCTTCATATAGAAGTGTACTTTAATTTTGTATACATGTGATTCTGTGTCTGTTGTTCCAAAATTACCCCCGCATTGATAACTTCCCGCTGCTGCCACTGCAGCCATGTGTTTCCCACGGTTCCAGGTGGCTGCTGAGTCATGTATCATAATTCGGTTTTTAAAAAAAAATATTAATTACCCCTGCACCCATTATACCCTCATGTTACCACCCCACATATTTGATCCCATCGTCTTCTTCTTTATCTAGAAACTCAGACACACATACACACTGCAGGGGTAATTTTGGAACAACAGCCTTGTATGGTTTTTTCATAAAACAAAATTTAACTGAATTTTGAATTTTTTTTATATGATATGCACCTTCCTATAGAGGAGATTGTATTTTCTTCGTTATTTTGGTTTTGTATTCCGTTGTTCCAACATTACCCCTGCATTCATAACTTCGTGATGCTTGGTTGTGAGAATGTGAAAGGGATTGTATTTGTAAATAGTAATATCATTGTTACCATCTTACCAGTAGATCGGATCTGTTTTTCAGTTTCATGTCGTATAAGGTTGAGGGAGTTCCTGATAATGCTGTTATTGGCCTTGAGGGTCTTGTGAATCTGAAACCACGTTGTTGGTATACAATTTCAATGATATGGATTGTAGGATATTTCTGTAATTTATGTCACTTACAAATTTATGAGTGATGTTGTCTCCGGTATATTTGGATTGACATAGATATGTGTAGCATGTGATGACCCGTGTCGTAATGCTCCTACATGGAAGGTATTTGGTGATTAAAGGCATTAGAAGATATGATGTGACAGTGATAATACACACATATATATATATATATATATATATATATATATAGTGATATATATATATATATATATATATATAGTGATATATATATATATATATATATATATATATATATATATATATATATATATATATATATAGTTTATATGGAGGTTTGTAGAAGAGGGTACCATTGGATTTTGATGGTTTTAGGTTCGTTATTGCAACAACTGTTGTCGTACATGGGTGATCTAGGGAGGCACGGTTGAATTTCTGTGTATTTGTTATACATTTTCCATAGATTTATTGCAAGTTCACTGCCACTAATGGAATGTGGGTTGTTTTTGATGTTAGATGGTGATGATGGAATTTATGTGTGTGCTTTGGTAGTTAGTATATATACCTTTCGTCAGTTAGTATAAGTAACACAAACGGTTCTCGATTTGCTTTTGTGCAATCTCTTACCTTCGACAGAACGCCAACGAAGTCTGTTTGGAAGTAAATGTAACAAATGTTGGCACGGTTAACAACTACCAGAGGCTAACAAATCAGAAGAAGAAAGGCTACTAAGCATTTTTTTTAAATCTGCAAATATTACTTTATGGGTTCAGTTTTTTCAGTTTTCCTTTTTTTTTTTTTTTTTTTTGGAATTTGACTAATATACCCCTGCTGATGTTTTGGGCCAAACAACAAAAAAAAAACATGACCTGGGAATGACGAATACGAACTATTTGGAAGTAAATTTTTTATATCTTTAAAACCGATTGTTCACAGTTGTTTTTTTTTTAAATTTTTTTTTATTGAATTCGGAAGTTGACGAATACCAAGCCCTATGACGAAGCATACCACACCAACTCTTTATCTATAGGATCCTTTAATCACCAAATACCTTATACGACATGAAACTGAAAAACAGATCGTCATTCCCAAAGAAAGCATACCATCGAATAAGGAAGCATAAGGTTAAGGCATTCCCAAAGGATCCTTATACGACATGAAACTGACGAATACCAAGCCCCATGACGAAGCATACCACACCAACTCTTTTGTAATCAAATGTCCAGTAGTCATCCCTTAATGAATGGACACTTTTGTAATCGAATATCAACTAATGAATGATATCTTTTGATCCTTATCGTCTAATATATTTTCCTGTTACCACTAATTCTAATGAATGATATCTTTTGATCCTTATTCCCTAATATAATTATCTGCTCTATTAACAGATTCTTAAATAGATACGAAATATCTTGAACAAAGGTTACAACCGATATCATAGGAACACATCTGCTCCCTCTGCCCCCCGCGAAGCGGGGGTTACCAATCTAGTTAAGATTAATATTTTTCTTGCTTCACATTTATAAAACTCAGCATTTACATTTAAAAAATCTAACACTGATAAAAGTACCTGTTAGTGGTTGTACATATTCAAATCTTGTTGGGATTTGAGTTTAGAGAGAGGGAGAGAGAAACATTTTGATCATGTCTCATTAAATTGTAAATCATGAAGTGAATACACTTATATACAATGTTAACTAAACAACTAACTAATCATGAAACTAACTCACTGTAACTAACAACTAACACTAAATTACATATTTGTCTTTGGGCTGTTATATCAGTTAGTTTGATAAATTCGAGCCTTGTTTTGTATGGAAGGACATATAAGACCTATCCGGTTATGTCATTTAACAATTTTTTTTTTTTTGGTCATTTTCTCCGTCACATAAATGTGCGGTGTTGTAGCATTGGTTGCAACTCAAAACAATGTTTTAAAATGAGCACCTTTAAACCTCTTGTTGAGATTACCAAATATGTGCCTAATAAATTATCTAGGCTCAACATTGCGTAATATGTCATTCACTGCCTCAATTAGTCCTTATGCATAAAATTACCATAATTATTAAGTAACTATGCACAATCTTGTTGAAATTATTAAAGAGTTTCATTTACATACCTTGTGCCCATACGGTAGAATAATTAGCCCACTTCCATTTGGCATGCCAATATCAGTGCTATACCTTCAAGATTCTAAAAGCAAATTGGGTGACAATTAGTGGTGATGTTATTCATTTTGTGCAACACTTTGAAAATACAGATTCACTTGCACCAGCTGCAATTCCTCAAGCATCACTCTTATTCCAAAAATACCAGATCCACAAACATTCGGGGACTATAGTCCCATTTGTTTAATTGGATGTATGTACAAGGTGGTAGCAAAGGTACTTGCCAATAGGCTAAAAGAAGTGATTGGGTCGGTTGTCGATGAGGTCCAATCGGCATACATACATGAAAGATTCATTCTTGATGGTCCTTTAGTAATGAATGAGGTGGTATCATGGGCCAGACAACAGAAAAAGAAAATCTTCCTCTTCAAGGTCGACTTTGAAAAGGCTTTCGACTCGATAAATTGGGGATACCTGGATTCGATAATGGTTCAGATGGGCTTCGGCGGGAAATGGCGGAAGTGGATCATGTCCTGCTTATCCTCTTCAAGAGCGTAGGTCTTTGGAAATGGTGCACCCACAGACGAATTCCCCATATCCGGCGGGTGCGTCAGGGTGATCCATTATCACCATTTCTTTTCATCCTAGCCATGGAAGGCCTTAACATTGCCCTCAAATCTGCTTGTGAAAAATCAATATTTTATGGTGTCAAGCTTCCAAGAGATGGGTCTTTGATCTCACATCTGTTCTACGCTGATGACGCGATATTTTCCGGGGAATGGGATCGTTTCAACATTAAGAATCTGTCCCGCATCCTTAAGTGTTTTAAAGTCTCTTCTGGATTGAAAGTAAATTTCTTCAAATCACGTTTATTTGGGGTCGGAGTGTCAAACTCAGATTTATTGGAGATGGCTCAGGTCCTGGGATGCTTACAGGGGTGTGTTTCCGCTCACCTATTTGGGAGTTTCGGTTGGAGAAAACATGGCACTCAAGAAGAATTGGAAACCAATTATTGACAAGTTTCCATCCAAGCTCTCAAGTTGGAAGGCTAAATCCTTATCTTTCGGCGGACGTATTACTCTCATCAAGCCAGTTCTAGACAGCATTCCCACATACTATATGTCCTTGTTCAAAGCCCCGCAAGGAAATATTGACCACCTTGACAGACTTAGGAGACGGTTTCTTTGGGGTGGCGATGACCTCATAAAAAAGATACACCGGGTAGATTGGTCAAAAGTCATAACACCAATATCGAAAGGTGGGCTTGGTGTTGGATCGTTACATGCCCAAAATATAGCTCTTTTAGTTAAATGGTGGTGGAGACTTATGAACGAATATGAAAGCCTGTGGAATAAGGTAATAACGAGCATCCATAATCTGAGAAATAAACCGACAACTTACCTAGCAAGGAAATCTACCAACGGTGTGTGGTGCAACATTTCAAAAGCAATAAGTTCCATTGAAGATCTTGGTATTGTTAAAAATGAACTCTTCTCTCTTACTCCGGGATCGCGAGTAAAAATTCTTTTTTGGAAGGATTCATGGTGTGGTATTATTCCTTTTCAGCAAAAATATCCCAATTTTTATGCAATTGAAACGAAAAAATGTTGTTCATCGGTAGATAGACTCTCAACCAATGGTTTTTCATGGATGTGGAGACTCAAACCAACAGGGATTTCCAAATCAAATGAGTTACTTCAAATGTACAGGGATATCGGTTCAATGACAGTGTCGGGGGTATCCGACTTTGGGTTTCGTTTCAGGCTAAGTTCCACAGGCGAATACACAGTCAAATTGTTGAGAAAGTTAATTGAATCCAAACGGATTTCATACAGAGGCCAATCTATTTGGTGGTCAAAGACTGTCCCTCTTAAGGTTAGATGTTTCATTTGGAGGGCTACTGTGGGAAGAATACCAGTGACAGATACCTTAGCACTAAGGGGAGTCAATATCCTTAACACACTTTGTCCAATGGGCAACAAGGAGAATGAATTAGTTGATCATGTTCTAGTTAAATGTGATTATGCCAAGGAGATACAAGAATGGATATTAGGTTGGTGCAGTATAGGTGATAAATCATTCACAAATGTGAGAAGCCTCATTAATTATGCAGCTGTCTGGAGTAATTGCCCTAAGAAGAAATATATCCTATCCACGGTGTTCTATAGTCTCATTTGGAAT